CAATTGGTGAAGCTTCGCTCAGAATCCCGGGGGATATCGACATGGTGGAGGGAGCCCCTTTACCGAAGCGATAGCCCTTCTCTTTCCGGCGCTCGCAATGCGCGACTCACCAAGGATCTTTCGCTTCTGACTAAAATGGAGTGTCCCTTGCTGCAGTAGTCTAAAGCCAAGATCTCCAGGAGAGTTCACATGCACCCAATGTTGGACACCCCCCTAAAACTTGGTCTGAACCACAAGAAAGCAAACTCATATGCGTGTGCCTGCCTTTGCAAGCACTATGCTGTTGTCAAATAGCTACATGCTGCACCTGCACAGCGAATTTATTCAGTCCGAAGGAATAGGAAGAATTTGCTTGAGGGTGTGTCCAAGTCTTTCTCCAAGCAAAGTTCAAGCAGGCGGTGATCAGCATTTTCAGCTCCAGACTTCCAAAACCGTCTTAGGGGCAAACCCGGAAGTGGCTGAAATCATGTGTTCACAAAGCCCAAGAATAAAGCTCCCCACAAATTGTCTCACACACTAACCTTTCATGAACCGAGACACGTTCTCATGCTAAACAGTCGACGACCGCGCTTCCGGTGGAAATCTCATGTCCTCGTCGCTGGAAAGATGCCTTGCTACAACGCCAAAGGTTGTACGCTTTGCACTGTGTGCACCCACCCACAGTTCCGGATGCCCACCGTGATCTCCTGGTGAGCCGGTGTACCGCACTGTAGTGCTCAGGGTCTGCCCATGACAGGTTGGGGTACACATCGACCTCACTGCTATCAGATGTGGAACGGCTGGTCATGCTGAAACTAATCACATATGCTCGACTCTTCTGCTTCATGCCTGTTCAGGCGCTGCTGGAAAACACTTGCAAGTGTTACTGAGAAGGACAGCTATGCAGTAAGAGCATGGATACATGTACATGTGCCAAACCTTCGAACGGGCCTCATTTCCTCTTGCTGATGTGGGAGGGTGCAAGAAAGATCCGATAATGGGGAAAGAAGCTGCGGCCATTGGTGGCAACAGCTTGAAAATGGCTGCAGACACAACCAACAAACAGCAGCACTCCCTTGCTAGCATCACATGTTGGTGATGTTGGTGAGTGGATCAACTTTGATAGTAAAACACAGCTCGGTTTCTGCCGCCAGTTTTGACGCAGCCCAAGCAAAGACAAAGCAATGTTCACCGGCTCCATGCACGCCTGCCCAGACCATAGCAGCAAAGCTTGTACACAGGGGATCAACTATAAAGGCGTGGCGACATCGCTGAAGACGACGCAAAAGTTGTTCATCTTGTTGATTTCAGGCGCCTCCTGCCCTGAGATGCGAACAAGTCAAAGCCCATTCGCAGGCAGCCGAGTGGCCGTTCGCAGTTGCAGACATGCAAAGATCTGAAAACACATCCGGTCGCATATTTCATCGTCAACGCCGTTGTCTCAAATGCTTCCAGGCCATGCATGCTGTCACTTGAACTCTGATGCCTGTAGGACAGGAACGCTGAAGAAGCTGAGAAGATCGCGGTCCCATCTCAATCTCTGCCTGTAAGCTGGCTTGCTGCAAGAGACATCGTTTGGCAGGCATCAATGCGTGCACAGGCTGCCTAACAGCCCGAATATCTTTCTTAAAGTCGCGAGGTTGATTTCTATGTAATTGATGCCCAAACGGCATCTGTGAAAACAAAAAATATGTTGGCCGACTGAGCTGCACCGACCGAACCGGCAACTCCTGTATTTGGTGACTATACAAACTGGTCTCCGTGCTGATTCCGGATTCCAGGCCGAGCATTCCGGACATGATCCCCCGGTTTGCGGGCGCAATCGAAAAGAGCAGCTCCCTCAGCTCCCGGATGTGTCTCTTCCACCTCTTGCAATGAGAACTACGGTCTTCGAAGCGAGGCTCAGCCCTTGATTCAGGATTTGAAGCTCTGGCTCTGTGGTACTTCCAGAATCGCTGGAACCTTTCCACCCCACCCGAATGCTCCCCATTCCCAGGATGTCTGCTGCTGCTCCTCCGGAAACGGCGTCGCACACAGGATGCGCAGCCGAAGATAGATGGTCAAGCCTGAGCTCATCTCGTTCTCCTCGTCCTTCACGTCGTTGAGACACTTGTAGAAAAATTGCACAATCATGCCCTGCAGCTGCGAAAAAAGAATGGAACGATGAGCCATCGCACTAGCGGCGGAAGATTCACCAAAGGCTACACCATTCTGGGTCAACAGTCGGTTGTCACGATATTTACAACATCACCGCGACTGGTGCTTCAAAGGATAGCTGCCGCTCTGCACGCCACGACTTGTCCAAGACTCTACTTGGGCCGTGAGACTGGGGAGACCATCGAGATAGCAGAGGCTATCGCACCGGGCTTGTGGAAGAGCCTGCATCACCTCAAATGCAGTACTGATGCGACAGACTTTGACTTTGATTGACATCTCTCGAGGCTGCAGGCCTGCAGGCCACAACGGTCGCAATTTGCGTGTTGGTCGGATGGTGCTACCAGTTGTACCTGTCGTTCTCGAGGACTGACCTGTTATCAACATGGTAGATCAAACACTAGACATGTCCACTGGTTTGAAGCACTGCTTACCATCATGATACTGAGCTCGAGCCTGGCATGCCGGAGTTGCATGATACACGAAAGTTCCCTGTCGCTCAGCCTGCAACAGCCCGAGAAAAAAAAACAAGCGAGCCAGCCGCTCGAGATTCGAAATGGCAGAGCCAAAACATAAATAAGAAGATCGCCACAACTCGACTAAAGGAAATTAACGCCGAAAGTCAAGGGCGTCGTTGCCTATTAGAGTATGTGCATACAATCTTGTAGTGACGGCACAACATGGCCCGACATCTTCAGTTTGGATCTCGAAAGTATTGCACGCCATGGCACTCTTTCCTTTCAGTCTTGTTTCCCACTCTTTCTCTCTGAAAGGTAACGAAGTATGAACCACCCCAACCAGCCTTCGTCAAAATTTGGCATGTAGTTGCAAGACTTGTGCATTTCACAGAACTTTGGGCGAACTACGTAAACCTTCCAAGCCCTATATAAGACTCTATAACTCAAGCTCCATGATCGTAGAGCAACTTATCACCGTTCCACGAGAACAAGCTGGTCCCAATTTTTGTGAATGTTCCATGGCTTTAGACTGTCAGTTTCAATTCCAATCAGTTTTGGGGTGAACTCTGGAATAAAGTACCAAGCACATCTTGGAAAAACGCAGCAACTCGAAAAAACAGGCATGCAATACCAATTCGCAATGAAACAAGCTCAAAGACATGTGCTTGCATGTGCACGGACGTGCAGGTTGTGCGTCGATTCGAGGGTAGCTGCTCAGATTAACCACAAATCAATTCTGCAAACTGTCACACTGACATTGACTAGCTCCTTAAGCTTACATGTCAATTCCTGGTTGCAGTTGTTGCGTTAACAGCTGATATTCTTAATTCGATTGTGTTGGGCCGGGCCTTTTTCCTCCGAACAGAGCTGTAACACTATAGGACTCTTGACGGGTATGGTGAGTATCCGATCCCCACGTTCCGTTCTTTCCACGGGACCGGTGTGGCATCAGGGCTCCCCGCGGCGCTGTGCAGACGTTTCGCCTGCGTCGTTTTTTCACAAAGGATTATTGCACACTAGCATACATGTGCCATGTTATGTACATTAGCAGCAATACTTGGGGGAAAGGATTTGGGGTATGCATCTGGATTCTGCCATTTTGGGGGAAGCACGAGCATCGCGATTTCGGTTCCCACAATACTTTCCTCCTGGTTTCCTGGTGGCCTGCCCGCTGGTTTCCCGGCGGTCTCGTGTTGGTGTCCTGGTTGTCTCCTGGCGGTCTTTTGCTGGTCTCCCAGCATCGTGGTGTATCATGTTGTTTTCTGTCTCCTGGGACCGGCAGGTTTTATATTTCACAACAGCCGTCGGCACACCACGATGGAAATGGACCAGATATTCGGTAAGCAAAGCTTTCAAATATCATAAGGGGAAACCGAGGTTATGTATTCCAGAATCAATAATATATAAAGTATGAATTTATGAAATATTCATCCGGTCTCGCGCACGAACTACAGAGACTGCACTCGGACCCCTCCTTCTTTTGGCTGTGGTGGAAAGCACTCGAGTAAGTAAGATACCGAAGTATCGGACTTATCAAGATGCATCCCCCCCTTCCGTCGTAAACAGCGTTGTAAGCAACGACCAGTAAGGAAACATAAACACCAACATACATCCTGGAAGGGAGGATAGCATCCTGATGCACCACTGGAAAAGGGTGCCAAGTGAACCACAAGCTCTCGCCAAGAGAACTCGTAATCACCAGCACTTGTGACTCACAGAGCCGACTCAGTGACTAGGGTGACGCACACCGAGGGTTGTACCAAACAATCTTCGTGAGTCCAACCGCCTCACACATGTGAAGCCTGGAGAAAAGTTTGGCGCACACACAGTTATGCCCGATAGGCGCGAGATAGAAAGAGTACCACGCATGCAACAAAGACCACATGAGCACACACTGCTCATGGGTGGGAGGGTGGGGTCTTTGCGAAAACATGTGCTTCGACATGTTGCTCTTTGGGCCGACAGCTGTTGTGAAAGGAATGTCAAACGCAATTAAGCAGAGTTGCACAAAAACCGCGTTGTTGTTCCATAAAAACAAGCTTGAGCAAGCACAAGGATCGTTTTATATTTCACAACAGCCGTCGGCACACCACGATGGAAATGGACCAGATATTCGGTAAGCAAAGCTTTCAAATATCATAAGGGAAAACCGAGGTTATGTATTCCAGAATCAATAATATATAAAGTATGAATTTATGAAATATTCATCCGGTCTCGCGCACGAACTGCAGAGACTGCACTCGGACCCCTCCTTCTTTTGGCTGTGGTGGAAAGCACTCGAGTAAGTAAGATACCGAAGTATCGGACTTATCAAGATGCATCCCCCCTTAAGAACTGCCACAGCCAAAGAAGGAGGAGCGCTGGGACAAGAGCCCCAATTGAAATCGTGCTACGACTGAATGGCTGCCTTCACGGAGGACTCCACAGGAGCCGAGTGCCCTTCGGGAACACTCTCACATCATGGTCAGACTGCCACATGCGCTTGACTGGGTAGCGATAGCGAAAGGTTTCAGCGAACTCGGGCAAAAGAGGGTCCGTGCCGTTCCAGCGGGACAGGTAATCTGCCTCCTCGTTGCGGAAGCCCGAAATGTGGTGCACGTCCAGGGTAATCCCGTGTCTAAAAGCGACAAAAGCCAGTTGCTGAGCGAAAAAGCAGAGCGGGGATGACGTAGTCATCAAACGATTTGCCGATGCCTGTGCAGAGGCATTGTCGCAGAAAGTACGCAGCTGAAGCCTGCATCGTCCGCCCGGGCAAGTCTCTGCAAAAAGAAGCGCCAGAGCAATTTCAGCCAGGAGCTCCCAGCATCCAATATTCTTCTGAGTGTTGTTGTCGAGAGGGATGTTCAAGTCATCGAAATCCGACTTCTCAAATCGTTCGCTGAACCACAAGACGGGTGAGCCCTCAACACGCAGAAAACCACCTATCCCGATAGAGGAACCCTGAGCACAAGCATCCGCTGCCAAGGTACAGGCAATGCTCCGTGGAGGAAGGTGCAGGCACTGTTCCAATGGGCTGCGCATGCACCACGATTCCCAAAATTCCATGAACTTGCGGCTGCATTCCGAAAGCTTGCGCTTGGGATGTTTGGGATCAGAGATACGCATATATATCCGACGTGAAGTCAGAGGAACTTTGTTCAAGTCCTGCTTGGAGTGCAGCTCAATGTGCCTGGCAGACAAAAGACGAGCACCTCGTGGAATAGCTGTGCCTGGAGGTTGGCTGGTGAACCGCAGGTTATCATCCAAGTACTCATGCAGCAAGTGCCACTCGCCAGAATCCACATGATGGTTTGTGGCCACCGGTCTATGCAGATCCGAATACAAGAATGCCATCCAGGGGCGGAGTTCAGGAGAAATCTGGCTCACCCACTGAAGCAAACCCACCGTTTTTTCAAGATCGCAGCGATCCACGTTGCCTGGCCGCAGAACGACCCGCACTGAACGAAGAATCTTCTCAATCTTGTCGGTTGGCAGACTGAAAGTTCCTGATCTGAAATTGAATAGCCATCCTATCCACTTCACTCTGTACCCGCACTGCAGTTTGTGCCACGATAGTGGCACATTGTAAGCTTGGCAAAAGCTGAGGATGAGGCAGCCTGAAATCTCGATTGCTTTGTCGCCTTGCCACAGCCACAGCAATAGGTCGTCGACAAAGATGCCTAAAGCGTGACACAACCAAATCAAGAGATGAAAAGTTCGGATCATGAAAGCAGACAATCGTGCCCACCACAGAGCACTGAAACCTGTGCCGAATGGGCAAACTCGGTACCACAGGTGTCGACCGTCCTCAAGCTTGATCCCCGCCAATCCACGGTCCTTCTCCCGAATGCGGATCGTTTTGTGAGCCGCGCGAATGTCCAAGCTGAAAGCTGACAAGTCCTCGTTGTTCATGCGAAGTGGAAAGGCAGAGCGTACGTCTTTAAGCGAGGGCAGACAGTAACGCTCATTCAAGAAGCAAGAGGAGTTGACCCCAGAAACCGTCCCATCCATGATGGAGCGCGGCTTGCGATTGTCCGCCAAAACCACGTTGAGCTTGGCAACTGCGATGTTCTCCCAGCGCTGCTGAGCTGAAGCAAGATCAAGCTCTTCAAGAAAACCCTCTGAAATCTCCTTATCAATCAATTCCGAAAGGATTTTAGGATTTTCTCTGGCCCCCTTCCAGTTGCGATCACAGATCACAAGCTCCGCCGGGGCTTCGGAAGAGTCATCCTTGTGCTTCGGAATGAAAACGTGACTGGGCGGGATATCCGAGAAGAAACCTGTGGGAACACCCGCAAGCAATGCTGGAAAGAGTTCATCATCTCTGTCTTGCAAGGCTCGAGAGAGGCTTTGTAAGGCCAGCAGCGAGTAAGGTTGATGTTCAGCCACGCTCCAATCGATTGATTGCACACCCTGTTGCATGAACCATTGCTGCCAGATCTCCCTGAACTGCCGAACCTCAGTCTCTGTGAACAGCGGGAGTTCGCTTTCGGACTCCACATGGGCGCGCAATCGCAATGGGGCCCTGATGTGGAAAAGGTACTCCACAAGCTGCTTACGCACTCCCCCTAGGAGGTCCTTGCAGCCGCTTGGAGGAAAACTCCAATCCGGCATTGAGTAGATCCCACCTCCGTCCTGTGTGCTTCGGGGAAGTTCCTCCTTGGTTTTGTGGGTTCGAAGAAACCTAACCTGTTCAAGAGAAATGGTGTACGGCTTGCTCGAAGTCTCGAACAAAGGAAGAACAGCTTCTGCATAGGCCTGCGCGAGCTGTGCCGGAAACTCCGAAGTGGCTCTGGAAGCGTAAACGCCGTCTTTGTCGACAATCCCTGCCACCTGTGCATGCGACTGAGGATCGTGTTGACAACAACATGCAATCTGCTGGAGGTCCCGAAAACTGCATGCGAAACACCACTGCTTCAGTACATCCATACCATAGCCACAAGCAGCCACACAGTTCAGGTCCGCGTTGATGTGTTGCAGAAATTCTCGGACTTCCTGCTCCAACCATGCCATGCTGTTCAAAGGGTTTTCCAGACTAACATGCCCTCCAGCGCAGTATGTTGCCAGCAGCAAATTGATTGTACGAACCAGCACTTTTTTACTTTGCTCCAGACGTTGCCGCTCTGACGGACTCAAATCAGGAACGCCAGACATGTGTTCTGGAGTGCGAAGCGCCCTGGGGCCACCATCTGCCCGGAGCTTGAGCCTGGAGTACTCCGTGCAAGGTGGAGAGGCGTGTGCCAGATTCACCTGTCCGCTGTAGCATAACCGCATGAGGCTGTCATAAGTGGAGTCATTCAACAAGTTGTGATCTTCATGCAAAAGAATGTCGATCGAGAGCACTGAAACACCTTTCGCCAGGAGGGCAGCAGACAGAGGCCGATTTGGCCCAGAACAGATCTCCAGAAAAAGATTTCCTCGAATTGCATCAAGGTCGGGAGGCATGATTGCAACTGGTAGCCCCAGCTGTGCCTGATCAATTTTGGCAGCCCGAGACTCACACTCCGCCTCGTCGATCACCATGGCGTCGCCTGGTAGCGGAAACATAAGATCACGTAAAGAGCGAAGATCCGGGTCCGTCATTGAACCCCAAGTGCAAGAAGTATAGGCCGTCACGACCCATCTGTCACCAACCAATGGCTCCGAACAATGAGCAATGCGGCCGTCCCAAGAAAAACCACACCTCCTGGTCTGAACTATGCAACCCAACAGCGAGGCATCAGCTGATGTGTCCGGCGGAGACACTCGTGGAAGGTGAGGAAGTTCGTCTGGCGGCAACGCCACCCACAAACCGCCTTTCTCGAAAGCCCCAACACTGAATGAATAATTCAAAGATCCCGGAAGGTTCTTATCCACGTGGATGTGAGCGAACTCATTGTGACTGACACAGAAGCTGGACCATGTGCCGTCTGGAAAAATCTGCCGAAGGAAAATGTTCAGGTACTCAACGAATTCTGCGTTTTCTGCTGTGCCTTTGCAAAGCCCCGCATTGGAGCCCGCTCTCGCCCCAAAATTGAAATATTGTGCTCGAGATCGCGCACCTGCAAGAACTGTATCTCGGTACAGAGGAGCATCACCCAAACAGTGATTCTGCAGGATAGCCAAGCAAGCTTCCCAAGAAAAATCCGCTGAAGTCGGCGACGGAAGTTCGCTGGATCGACCAGTCCGCACATCGGAGTGTTCCGCCACCGACTGTGACCTTCAGATTTTGCGGTGTTGGAAAGCAGGATGCTTCCCTAGGCATGGCTTTCCATCTGGGCCGGGAACCGGGCAGAGATGCTCGAATTTACAGTTTCCAAACTTGCATCCGTCTGGAGAACTGTACCCACGGCACAATTGTTTGCGTTGACCCTTGGAGTCCGTGTAAGAAAGCATCCAGCGTTGACTGTTGGTGCCATTGCCCTTGTTGCCCTTGCCGTTCTTACCACCAGGGGAGTCTTTCCCCTTGCCATTGCCTTTGAAAGGCTGCCTGTTGATCTTCAAGATTTGGCTGCGAGGCTGCAACATGGCTGCCAAGTCACCGCGAACTTGCACTACCTCCGTCAGTGCATCATTCAGGCTCCACTTGTGGACATTGACCAAATCTGCAATCAAGCCCCAAATGTGCTTGTCTGCCGCCTGAAGCTCCTCCATATTCGGGCTTCGGAGCCCTGAAGATGCCTCATGCCGCTGGCAGGCCAAGCGGATGAACTTGCGCTCGTAAAGCCGCAAGCTCTGAAGGTGAGCCCCCTTAACGAAGGCGAGTGATATGCACAAAAGACCCAAGATGCCCTGCAGGAAGGTCATGCCGACTTGGCCTTGAGGTAGCTCTCTTGAAGGTATCTCGTCGTACACCAGCTCTTCCAACCTCGGGATTTTTGCCGGCCTGCGCAGAGCGAAAGCCTCCTCTTGGGATTTGCTCATCCGATGTTTCCAAGCCACCCACCGCATCTCACCTGGTTTAACAAGCTTTGCGGCCAACGCTAAGAGCCGGTGACCTGGGGTGTTATCCGCATCCAAGACCTCTCCTGGGTACGAAGCCTCGAACTCAAGGCGGAGTTTCACCACCTCCTCACCTGTCAATTTTGCCGGGAAAGAGTCTACCCATGAAGCTGCATTGGATGTCATGCTTGCGTGGGCCGCACTCCCCGCATTCGAACCAGTTGCTGTCACAGACTGACACTTCTGAAACAGCAGGCGGAAGGATGACATAAGACGTAGTTTCTCGGTGGATTCCGCAGGCAAGGCGGCCCCTTCCAGCAGTACCTCGATTGAGGCATCCACTTCCGAGTGTGAGGCTGCTAGGCAACCAAACAGCGGCACGTCATAACCATCCAGCACGAAGTGGAACTCCTGCGGAACTCTGCATGCAACGGCAAGCTCCAAAAGCGCCGCATCCACGTTAGCCATGGAAGCCTGAAGCGAGGTGCAAACAGACAGGGTGAAATTGCAATCGATGAACGATCGGCAGCAGTAGCCCTTGCCCGCTGCACACACGTGCGATTGGCCCCACGGCCGCCAGGTTTCCGAAGGACTTTTATGCCCGGTAGTATCATATCCCACTGGCTGCAATCGCCATGCACTTGCCTTGAAGGTAAGCCAACTAGGGGGGGGTCGCCCTCCGCATTTCACGACCGTCTTGGATGGCGGACTGGCACACACGTGCGATAAGATCTGCCAGCACTGGCGCCTACACCTGCTGCGCGAACCATGCACAGCCCTTTCCACAGCCTGGATTTCAGACCCACATATTGCAGTCGACTGAAACCCAGCAGCAAATCGGCAAGCCCATATCGAACCGAAACGCCGCATTGCCGCGGCGAGCACACACGTGCGGATCGACTCCCGGCCAATCTTGACACGAATGGAAAGCAGTTTCCCCGCCTGCTCGTCAAGACCAGCTTGATCCCGCCGCCGAGCTGAGGGCCCGTTAAAGCTGCCACGAAACATGTTCAGTGCCAATCTTGCATGCTGCATTTCTCAAGCGCTTCAGTGTTACAAGTATGCAATAGCGATTTGCTTTTCCGCGTGCTGCCCAAACAGCCTCTAAAGCTCCAAAACTCGCCTGCATGCGACGTGCATGCAAAGGCGTGCCCCTACCGGCACGGTGGTCAAAACTGCAAAAGACTTGGCCAAGGCTCCACACCGTGGCCTAAGGTGGGCAGTGTGCCCTTCAGCATAAGCTGCCGTTCCCGATGCACCTTCCTGAGGCGCTGCCACATGGACTGTACCTGATGCCCCCTGCAAGAACAAGAATTCATCGCACTCCTCAGGCTGGAAAGTGGCTGAGATGGCCCCACTTGAACGCCGGACCGAACCTGAAGTGCCGGCATCCTGCTCCGACTCACTGGATGAAGATAAAGCGGCCTCCAACGTAGGAGCCTGCATATCACTGCTGCCTGCTGACTGGGACTCTTCCCTATCGACCTGCACCGCCTCATGAGAGACCTCAGGTGGAAACACATCCAAAAGCGGAAATCTGGGGTGCACGGGCGATGGTTCGCTAGGGACATTCACATGAACAAAAGGCCGTTGGGGGGTAGGATGTTGTCCCCCACGCCCCAGAGGCGTACTCGGCATCCACCCCGAGCGAAGCGATTGCACAAGGGCTCGTTGAGCTTCTAGTGCCGGCCAGATATCGTCCCGTGAATAAAGTCGGGCACTCCGGCCCGACGGTTGGTGGTGTCCTTGCGCTTCACGGCGCGAGGTTCTGAAGCCTCTCTGTGCCATCACAGCAAGTAAACATGCTTTCATGCTGTGCACAGTGAAGTCACGCGCTTCCTCAGCACTCAAACCGAGAGAAATCAAGGTGCAACGGAGAGCCGACAGAACTTCCCCGTATGACATGGGAGCAAACTCAGAATCGGTGCTTCTGAAGAACAGACAGTCTGGCGTCACATCTCCAAAACGATTTACCACTGCATCCCATTCCTCACCCAAGAGAGAGAGGTACTTGGCCACCCAAGTGCGTGTGAACTCGCGCTTGAAACCATAAATGCCCTGTGTTATCAGACCGAAAGGGACCCCTCTACGACTAACTTTAGTGCGGAAGTTCACTCCACGCAGGCACCAGGATCCGGACTGAAGCGAAGTCCATTTGGTGTGTTGAGCATCGCTGAGACGAAGACTGCTCCAACAACAGACCACTACCGCGCCTATGAATAAGCGATGCTGCACAGATCCCTCAGCTAAAAGCAAGCTCCTTTCAAGAAGTCCCAGGACAAACATGGGAAGCGGAAGCGCTTCCTTGCGGTCCGCCTCGATTTTACCGGAGATGTTCAACATGATGCCTGAATACAAGTCCGGAAGGCGGAGAGCGAGTGCCTTGCGTGCCCAGCGGATTGCCTTAAGACTGTTGCCTACTTGGCTGCCCCCTTTATGCATGACCAGCAAAGCGTCAGCAACATCCACTTGCCGGACCTTATCCGACACCGGCACCCCCAAGCACTCCAAAGCTTCAATGAAATGCCTGACAGCACTGAGGTAACGCACAAGAGTCGTGTCCGCCACACTGCTAAGGATGCGGTGCTCAAGCACGTCGCCGTGAAAGGAACCTGACAAGTCGGCAAGGCAATCTGAGATCGGGAGCAGCCGGGGCTTGAGCATTTCCCAGATGATCTTGCCCTGCTCAAACTGCTTGGCATGACCGTCATTGATCGAGCTGAAACCCAGAGCCGGTGCATTATGCGACTGAGCCGGAAAACGGACACCCAAACCAAAATCTACACTAGCCTTAGCACAACCCCTGGGGGCCGGGGTCCGCTCCCTGTGCAAGACAGCGGAAGGTGCACTGATCGCCAATGTATTGGACGTCTCCAGGGGCCGAGGCCTGTGATAATCAGCTGCCCTGAGGGGAACCGGGTTTGGTAAAGGACTACAATCCCAGCCTACACGACTAAACCTCAGCCGTAGAACCGGATTATGCAGCGGTGCCGCTGCAACCCTGGGCACGAAAGGCCTACGACTGGGCTCGCTGAGCCTACTGGGCCCCGGCACTGACTTGGGTGGTCGTGGCACCCTTGCAAAGGAAGCACTGGGCCAGGCAAACTTCCATGCACAGTCTGCACTGAATGCGAATGCCTGCTGTTCTTATACCGCTTCACAATCACTGGCGCATGATTCTCGACTAACTCAAATGAGCCTACCGACGACTTTGCAGGAGAGTCCACACTTTCAAGCAACCCTTGCAAATGACGCTCGAATGCTGAATCCGTGTGCTGGTGCCCGCCGAGGCGGGAGCTGGTTCCAGCATGTCTGTAGAACCACTAACCCCTAATGTGCAGGCACCACTAAGTTCCGGCACTCTCGCAGTTAAGGGAGTACCTGCATCAGCGCCAGGCAGCGAGGAAACAAATTCTGCATCCACTGAATCACACTTGGACTCTCGGGAAGGCTTAGGGCTCGAGGCGGCGATGGGCAAGGCCATCCGTGCAAAAAGGCGTCTTTAAGCAACTCTCGTCTAGCACCTGTATGCATGTACCAAGAGGCCACAAGCAATGCGCGGCGATCGGAAACTTGCAAGAAGCCCCACACACGCGGGATTACTCTCGGATAAGCTGCCACGAGATCCTCCAGGCTGGGCTCAAACTCAGACTCAGCACTGGAAACACTGGGTGCCACAAGAGTGCCCTCTAAGTTGGTCGGGTGCAGGCGGCTCTCCAGGACCGTCACACGCAACTGAAGTGAAGCTAGCTGATCTTGAAGTGACTCTTCTAACAAGCGAAGGTCTTCCCTGTGCACAAAGGAGCCACCGGCACTGGTCTCGGACCCAGAGTCCGGCTGCATGCGATGACCCCTCAGGGGGGTACACGGCCCATGCACCCTCACGTGAAGGTGTTGTTGTATGCGAGAGATAAAACTGCCAATTTCAAGACAATGCGTGCTGAAAAACCACGTGAATCAAGTGACTCACCATGTATATGAAACACAACCCATGTTGGTAAAGTCTTTGCGAAAACATGTGCTTCGACATGTTGCTCTTTGGGCCGACAGCTGTTGTGAAAGGAATGTCAAACGCAATTAAGCAGAGTTGCACAAAAACCGCGTTGTTGTTCCATAAAAACAAGCTTGAGCAAGCACAAGGATCAAAAATTTGAGCCGAATCACATTTCAAGGACCATGCTTCCCAAAGCATATACAAGCGCAAGGCAGACATGACTGATTCAGACACTGGCGAACATTCTTCTCTTCGCTCCCGGCCACCTGCGGACGGGCAACCGCCACTTCGTCCCACAGTTTCTCCAAAAACTTTTCAGCGCGGGCTAATCTGCCAGCACCGCCGCATTCTCCTCCGAAAGCCACCTCAAAGGATCTACACGGTTCCTGCCTCCTCTGGCACAGCCACACGGGCAACCACAACCGGCAACCCCCGTGGTAGCCGAAGTTGCAGCCTGGGCCGGCGAAGCGCCGTAGCATGCATCAGGCGGCGTCATGACATTCTGGAGAAGGTCTTCCACGATGGCCTGCCTACCATCAGAGTCTAAACTCACCAAAACGGTTTGAGGACAGCGAAATTGTTGCAGCTCGCCAAGCAACCTATCGCAAAGTTGTCGAGCATCATGCCTGCTGCGATAGCCCACGGCCCACTCGCGGCCCGCATGCTCCTCCGTCCAGCCGCAGGCAGCCGAGCATAGCAAAGTTGCACCAATGCCTAAACGGGTTGACGAATGACTTTGACCACCAAAGTGGCGCCTCCGCTTGCCCAGTCAAAATCCCAAACAAGGATTTCTAGTAGGGCACGCGGGAATACAGGAATCGAGCTGCCGGGCCGGTTCGGCAAGGAACCTTGAACGCACGCCGCACACATTCGAAAAACTTAGAATTTTGCTGCCAAAGAGGGCAGGATGCCTGAAGCAGGTAACCCTCGAACATGCACTCGCTGTTGTGAGACTACTTCTTGTGACTCGGCCCCGGCGCGTCCTCGTCCTCGCCGTCGGCCGCCGCATGTGTCTGGGAAACCTTCTTCTTGACCTTCGCCAATGCTTGGATCCCGTCCACTCTTTGCGAATGAGCGGGTCCGGAAGCCCGGTCAAGACCCAGGCCGTGCCTCATCGCCGTTCTGCCAAACGGCCTGCACCTTGGCCTTGAAATTGTGGACAAACTGGGCCGCCGCGATCTCGTGCTTGCCAACACGATGAGGCGGTGATGAAAGCCAAACCTGAGCAGGGCGCGTCCAGAACATGAAGGGCAGCATCTCGCACTCCCTGCTTGGGGTTGACCTCCAGCAGGGCGGCGGAGCAAGCCACATGAGCTCCCGTCAAGTTGACGCCGACCCCACGAATGCACCATTCAAGCAAGACTAGGTCGATGACCAGCTGTCGGGATCCGAGCTTCCTAGTGGTGCAGCTGGTGTCCCTACGGTTCCGATCGGTGCCATGGAGCCTTGGAAGAAACGGGGCTTTTCGGACATT